TTCATTGTTCACGCTCAACAACTACTGTAAGTGGTTCGAAGATCATAATATTCAAGTTATGAAGTGGCCGGCAAAAGCCCAGACATTAATCCTATTGAGAACTTGTGGGACATTCTTGCTCGAAAAATTTAAGCTAATATAAGGCATATTGTAAAAACAATTATATAACATTGTAAAGTGCTATAAATAAACAATAATAACCACTTGCATTGTTAAGTAACACTTAATATTTAAAAAATAATAATAACATATAGATTATCTACATTTTTGGATACACTGTAGTATCATAATTTTGCAGGTGACAACCGGCTGGCCTGTGGGGTTGATACCTTTATCCTACCGGATTACCTGCCATTCTGAGAGATCCAGGCTCGAGGTTGGATCAGATTTTCAGAAATTTGAATTGGTAGTTTGATCAAATAGATTGTGTCTGTTCCTCATCACCAGCTGCTCTTTTTGGGTATTTTCATGATCATCGAACGCATGAAAAAAAGATTTGTTAATTCCCAAGAAGAGTAAAAACAAAAAAAGTATTCTTAGATTCAACTCATTGAAAATATGATGATAAATTATGTTAAAATGAACCAATAATTATTGTAAATTCAAATAATTCGGAAAATTTAAAAACAATGCAGATAATTAATTGCTTTCACCGTAATATTTCAATTATTTTATTGAAATATACTTTAAACCGGTTATTATAAAATAAAAAAAACGAAATTATGAATGATTCTTCTATACATTTTTAATTAGTTTGTTATAAAAACTAACTCTAACTATAATTTAACATTAAAATGTAATAAAAAAAATTATCATAATTACCAATTTTTTCACCGTTTCACACATAGAAGTGATACCATAGAAAACAATTATCGAAGCTGCGAATGCGGCAATTAAAGAGAATTTAACAAAATTGGTTTCGATATTCTGAAATGTTAAAACATATACAATTGTTGCATTTAATATTCCTATGACACTACTTGTAAATGATATCGGTTTTCTGAAACCTGTATCCATTGTGGCACATATACTATCGATCGCATTTAAAAATAATTGCACCTTATGAATTTCGACAACAGTTAAACATTTGTAAGTTCTTAAATTTTGAAAATAATTGTAAACACGATTCAGTCGTATTGAAACATAATAATAGAGTAAAAAAACAAAGCAAAATCCACTTATTAGAAAAACCGAGCCATAAATATGAACAATTGTGGGCAATGTGCAATGTAAAATGATGATCCATTCTGGAGATCTCTCTGGAGCAGAAAGCCTTTGCTCGTGTTTAAATTTCAGCTCGATAATTTGTAAATCAGGAACACACACTACTATAATTATTAAAACAGGAATAACGCACACAATGAGCATTTGAACTGTGTATATTATTTCATCGTACAAGACATCATTCACTGTCAATTTATCCATTTTCTGAACGATTTTTTCCAATATTTGCAATTCTCTACTGACGTTAAAGAGAAATAGAGGGATTGCCGCTAATATTAAATACCATATGGTAAGTAGCATGTGTATTAAATATACGTCATCCGGCCATTGTGCAGATAGATCAAAGTATCTTCTGTAATGGTGGTCAGGAGGAAGAAATAAATAAGACAAGAAAGTAAAGAAAAAAAACCACATAAATAAGTTAATAATTATGCAATAAGCGTATTGTAAACAAGTATGGGTTCTACTCTTAGTATCTTCGTGCAAATCATTAAATATAGGAATGCCTGATAATTGAAGAATGTTAAACATAGGCAAGAAGAGGCATTTAACACAGTGACAATTGTTTTTAGGGAAAGAAAATCCTAATAAATTAGCGATTTCAGCTAGTAGAGAAACTATTAACACAAGCATATCGGAAAAATTTTCATTAAGAGGTAAATACTGTATATAAAAATTTTTAACGTTAAGTTCTCTCTTGATTCTCTTTGCATTGATTTTACAACATCCATCTGAAAAATCGATAATTGCGTGATTACTTGTGAAAGCGTGTGCCTACTCACGCACGCGCTTTTAATTAAATCGATAAAATGACGCGTCTTTTAAAACGCTTCTAAACATTTTCAACAATATAATTTACATGATAGATAAAAAACCTCTACTTTTCAGACTTTTTAATCAAATACAATTGAAATTTCATAATGTATTCCGTAATTTATGCAAAATATATTGTCATAAATAAGCGTTGATCTTAATTGTGAAAACAATTTTTTTTTCGTTGTTGGCTCTCCTTCCTGTGGACACTTAAGAAAGTCTTTTTCTAGGCTCATCGTGGGATCGACTTAGCCTACAAAAGAGAGGCTGAGTGGTGAGGGACTCAAACATATTCTAGACCTTATATAGCACGATATATTATATCGCTTAAGAAACATTGTTGGAGTTCTCCACCCGGAGTTCTTTTGGCGATGACGAATGATATAACTTATACAACTTTAGTGAATAAAAATTAGAGTCATTATATTCACTACAAGAATTATAATACGGGAAATTCTCGTTAATTCGAACTCGGATAATTCGAAATCTTGTTAGTTCGTAACTGTACTTTTGTCTCGGTCGGAGATATAGAGATTTACACGTTAATTAATCTCATAAAATACGGCTGGGTTTCGGGATTGCAAGATTGAGCTACGACTCTACGAGTAACAGATTAAGATATTTCTAGGGCTCTAGGATACTGTATTTAGGCGGCTTACTACTATTTGGTCTAATTTAAAAATAATTTGGGTTACATGTCCAGAAATTTTGCTTTATTTTTTATAAAACCTATGTGGCAACCTGCACCGGATACGTACTGTTTATCCGCTTTATTTATATTATTATTATTATTATTATAGTAATTATTAATATTTAACGAAAACAACTTTCTTTATACGTAGCCGTATTACGTTTTCTTAATAAATTACATCAGTTACAATTACACGACATTTGGCATATTGGGTGCAGAAATACGTTATTAATCTCGGATAATTTGAAACTCGATAATTCGAAGTCGCGATTATTTCATTATTCAATTTCGAACTAACGAGGATTTCCTGTATTTGTTAGTTTCTTAGTCGTATTCGAGTAACGAAGGTTATTCTTGTTCTTTACTTCATCAGCTGCATTGTTTTTCGATTCTCAAAATTCTTCGAATCCAACAACTCATCAGTGGCGGATTGGATAGACCTCTGAACACTGGTAGTTGCTCATGACTTCGCGCCGCCTTTAACGGATTGTCCACGTGCAGTTTTCTGATTTTATTCACGTTTCTAACACCTAAATAGGGCCAGTTTCCCATAAGGTGGAAGACCTCCAAGTTATTTGAGTGATCACTCTTGACTCGTTGCCATATACATTAAAATCAATCGTACCTCCATGAAAAATTTGTTAATTTTTTTAAGAATTAAAGTCCATTTTTCCACGCGTATTTTAGCTAACTCTAAAAATGATTGAAACAATTTTTAAAAATTTATTTGTGCACATTCGTTAATATAAAAAACATATATGTCTATGTTAAGAATTTAAAACAGAAAATGTACATTTAGTAATACTGTACATTTAAATTTTATATTGATAAATTTTGACGATTTTATTTTAAATAATTTTAATGTAAAATTTATATATTTTTATCTCAAATTTTATTTGTTGACTTTGTTTTTACTTTACCAAGAAGTAATTTTCACGGCCAGATGGCGAAGCAGTTAAAGCTTTAGCCTACTGCTCTGAGGAATCTGGGATCAAATCTAGATGAGCAAGTTCCGAATTGTGTTTTTATCCTTAACTAGCAGACCCCGCCACGCGTTGTTGTGGCTCAAAATGTATCTATTATAAATGTATAACACTTCCCTGCGGAGGGGGTAATTTTTCGAAAAATTTCTTCTTAGTGTACATTCTCTTGACGTAGTCTATTAAAACGCAATCAAAAACGCAAAAAACCCGCATCTAAAATAATATAATAGAAGCCAAGTTCTTCACGGTAAGCTTTAATTCTGTCCCTCTCCCCACGGGGGAAATATCGAAAAATCCTTTCTTAGTGTACATTCTGTTGACGTACCCTATTAAAACGCAATCAAAAATGCAAAAAACCGCATCTAAAATAGTATAAATAGAAGCAGAGTTCATTACGGTAAGCTTTAATCCTAACCATCTCCCTTCAGTGAGAGGAATTTCGACACGTATATTATATAAAAACACGTGCGTATTCGAATGCAACGTTGTGTCAAAAATTCAAAGGAATCGGTAGGAACAAACGAACATTACATTTTTATTTATATAGCTAGACAGATGATGATCTGCTTTAGTTCATTTTCACAGAAAAGCATAATGCCTCACAGAAAAGCAAACTTAGGGCGTCATACTCGTAGCGCCATCTGTTGGACAAAAAAAGCCTTAACCATAGATGATATCATTTAATTTATATGAATGTTTAACGGAATAATATACAGCCTATGCCCACCCTGAGGTTCCATTCTAAATATTGGCGAAAGAATTTTTGAAATCGGATGAGTAGTTTCGGAGATTACCTGCTGCAAAGAAACTTACATACATACATACATACATACATACATTACCTCTTTATAATATTAGTATAGATAATACGAATTGACTCTTCGTTTTCTAATTTTCAGTTATATTACTCGACCCCATTGCGGGTCAGACCCACCCAAAAATTGTGACTGAACATAGCGCCTTAATGTGCCGCTGATGGTTTCGGATAGCAAATCGATAAATCCATTTTAATTTTGGAATATTCTTTAATCTTAGTGATTGGATATTAAAAGATAAACTGTAACATTATTCAAATACATCCAAATGTTAAAAGAAGAAAAATTTAACATTTACTAGAAAATAAAAAAGTTTTATATTTAAGAATAATTATTAAATTGTACTTATATGTTTTTAAAATGTTGAAAAACTTTAAAACGTTTTAATAGAAATTTTTTTAGTGAATGAATTCGTGCAATAAAACTTTTTATTTATATTTTATATACAAGTAATTAAATAAAAATTATTCCAGAGGGCGCTTCCTTGTTTATATTTGTAAGAGGAACAGTTCGTGTAAGTGTAATGATTATTGCAAATTTATAAATAAATTTGAATAGTATAAGAGTTTTTTCCGATAAGAATCATTCACTTGAATGTTAATTCATATATTACATATTTTTCATAGAATTCTAGTTATTGATAAGCATTGAATATGCAATGAAAACTTCAATGGGTAGCAGTTCCGTTTAGATACTTATTACATATTCATATAAGTATATCATTTAACTTAAAGTAACTTCTACTATTAATGTAATAATCAACATCATAAATTTGTATTTTATTGAAGAAACTGGTTATATGAAAACTGAATATACGATTAAATCTGATAATTGTATTTAAATGTACATTAAAAATATTTAAGTTTCTTGATTTGATTTTTTGTTGTTTTATTTCAATATTCAGGAATAAAAAGCAAATTGAAGGGATTTTTGTGCATTTGTAGTAAACATGGTACACAGTAAAGTTCATATTCATGAGAATGATTTCACTACTTATTTCGGTTAATCTTTACCTAGGTGCACCATCATGGCCATGGTCCTGATGGACTCCTCCCAGAGGGGAGTGGTCGGTAGGCCACCGAGTGCCTAACATCACTAGTTATTGATTCACGGTAGTTCCTGAACAAAAGAAAAAAAAAAGACGTCTACTAAAAATATAGTTAATCTAACCTAACTGAAGCAAACAGTCGTGACTGCTGCCATGATGGTGCATGTAGGTAAAGGTTGACCCTTATTTCATATATTTCTAGAGTGATTCTGCAAAGGTAGTTCAATTTTAAAATTATATTACTTGTTGCTGAATCTGGTTAAATATTTTACTTGGTTTTTTAGCTTTTTTGAGTAAATCAATAGAATTCAAAATTTACTCTATTTTTGTCAATAACTCAGAAATCCATGCTGTAGTATAGATGGTCAGCTGCAGATTTTGTGGGGCCTTGGAAAAATGTTATTAGTGGGCCCAAAATATTTATAAAAAAAAAGAACTTTTTTTTTATCAAATCTTAGACATTTGAATGTGTGATCCCTTTGAGTGCAGAGCCTGAGTTTGAGGTCTGAAAACTGACATCTGAACTGGCCCTGTAAATGATAAAAAATCACCATGTTGATGAGAAATTGGTAATTCTCTATTTAGTAGATGTTATAGCAGCTGCTGTACAAAATATACTTGATATGTATAAACCATAGAGTAACAGAATAAAAGAAGGAATCACCTATTCTGTGCTCTGGTGTTTTTTTGGGGATGAAGCCTCTTTCTGCTCAGAAAGCATTAAGAGGCTGGAATATGATGTTAGTATGTTTTACTACTACCTGCAGGACCTGATTACCTATAATTACCTGATTACCTGATTACCTCATAATTTTATGTCTTTTGCTGTGTAGATTTTGTTTATTGTGATTGTTGTGGTAGGGATATGCTGAAAGTACCTTGTCAGGGGTTGATTTGTAATGGAAAATTAGTATGGAAAGTTAGTTGGAGTGAGGATAACCTCAACCTAACCCATGTTCTGGTTTAGTCAGTATCAATGGTTTTGGGGATGTGACAGTGGCAAGTTTCTCTGGTGTTATGACAAATAGTTTTCTATTTTAATATTTGTTATTTTTATGAACATTTAATATTGGTATTTTATTTTATAAATATCTGGAACTGTATAATAAAACAACAACAACAATTTTCTACTGATGTAGTGTTCATTATTATTTTTTTTTAGTAACTCATGTTCATAATATAAGATTTCTTTGAATGTATTGATATTTAATAACCATCCAAACATTTTTTATAACCAATTTATCAAAATAATTTGAAATTGTTTACTTTTTTATTGTTTGTATCCATTGAAAATGAATCAAATTGGACAACGATTCTTTTTCATATGATAATTAATTCTTAGGAAATATAATATTAATGTAAATAACATGTAATTTAAACTTCACCTATTATTCTAGATTCAAAATAACCTGATGATGGCTTAATAAATTTGAAATGTTATTGACTATATAAAAATTTATTGAATTAATAAAACTACTTTTACTACAGAAATTCATTCATTTGATTAATTCTGAGGATTCAAACATAAATGCCGATCAAATGTATCAATTAGATAGCTCTGTTTATTTTTACATCTGTTTTGCCAGTTCATTTTGTTTTTATCTTATATCAACAATTACATTAATGATTCTCTTTATTATCCCTATTTTTCTTTTTTATAGTTCTTTTTAAAAGTTAAGAATATATTTTTTATAAATTATACAGAATACAAGAAAAGGAAAGAATAAAATGTAATTTCAGATTTATAGAAATATTTGACTTTTATGTAAATATATTCTTATATAATAATAATAATTGTAATATTAAAATTATTTATTTTAATAGGTTCCTTTAAAGATTTCAATACGATGAAAACATTTATATAAACAAAAGTTATCTTACAAGTAAATAATATAAATCTGAAAATATATGTGTGATTTCAACAAAAATAGGTAAGTATTTTATCAACATGGATTATTTTTTCTAAATTTGGAATTATAAATTTTATTCAAAGCATTTTAAGATTTGTTATACAAGTAAATAAATAATATAAAATGAGTAATTACTTGTAATTACTCATTATACATTATGTTAAATTTATGTTTTAAATTTACAGATTTTTCTCTACTTTATAGAGCTCTCTGGCAACTACTAATATTATTACGATATACAAAACTGTATTTCTAGATTTTTCTACAGTGTGCAGAGCTAGAAATCTGTAAAGATAACATTTTGTAACAAAAATAAATCTGTCCGAGGATTTTTTTAAAATTACTAAATTGAAAATGGTAACTCCCGAATAAAATCTTAGTCTCAAGGTTGTAAAAGGCATGCAGAAATTCTGGCATCATTTTTTGCTTTATGGTGGTACGCATATGGTTTGCATACTGAACGGTGGATTAAGCAGTAAGTGAACTATGCGGGCGCGTAGGGCCCTGAAGGGACTCTTGCAGTCTTTAAAATGCTACTGAAAAAAGGGATTGCGAAAACGCAGAAGATAGAAATAGTCCAGAAAAACACTTCGATATATATAGATACATGGAAGTAATAAATGATATAGCTTTATGGCCAACAATATTAACAGATGCTATTATTGATCATATTCTTAAAACAAACCAAAAAGTATAGAAAAGGGATTTCTTAATAAACAAAATAAAAAGAGTTCAGATAATGGAAATGAATAAAACACCAAATGAAGGAAGTAACTTGACACCCGAAAAATTATTTAAAATACAAATTTACAGAGTTCTTGACACTCTATTGTGTCAAATAGATTGCGTTATGAAAAAATGAAAACTATCTGTGACGATTTTTGCTTTCTCTGTGGCTCGTCTTTACAATACATGAGTGTTGCTGATTTAAAAAAATCGGCTGCAGATCTCGCTATTAAATATAGCAAAGATTTAAAAAAGTACGAATTCACAAGTGAAATTGAAAGTTTTAATTTTGAAGTAACGACTCTTATACAAAATATAGAAACTGCATCTCCGCTTAATATTCTACAGGCTCTTCATGATTTTGGTTTAATTGAGTCTTACCCAAATATCAATGTCGCTCTTCGAATATTTCTAACTCTTCCCGTTTCTATTGCTTCGTGCGAGAGAAGTTTTAGCAAGTTAAACTTAATAAAAAATTATTTAAGATCAACTATCGGACAAGAACGATTATCCAATATTTCTATTATTTCAATAGAATACAATATCGTTAAAAATATTAATTATGATGGTGTAATTAATGAATTTGCTGAAATGAAAGCCAGAAAAATTCAATTAAAATAAATCTTATTAAAAATCTATTGTAATGTATTTGTTTTATTATTTTCCCAAAACCAATTAAATTAAGGAGCCTAAATGCAAATTCTTGCACAGGACACAGGAATGGCTAGTTAAGGCTCTGACGAAGAAACTCATTCATCTTGGTTTGTTTTGGTGCCACTTTCCTGCCTGTTGAATACAACAACCTCTTGCCTATCAGCAATGTCACATAGAGCCTGTTTGTTTTCACTAAAACTTGTCAGGAAGACCTTCACAACTTGGAAAGGCTTTATGCTAAATTTCATCACTACACTTCAACCAGTGTCAGAATGTTTACTAGGTGGCTCCTCTTCAATTATATCAGCCTGCTGACTCTCTTCATACAATTTTTCAATTGTACATATCCCAAATTACCAAGTGCATCATTGAACTCTAGTTTTGGGTGTTTCCTGGAGTTTATAAATGTTGAAAAAAATGTGATGTTTACAATAGATGGGCTAGAAAATTATTCTGAATTATTGATCTGCTAAAAGAAGGTAAAATTACATTGATTTGATGGGACCGTGGAAAAAATTAGCTTTTTTATGATCATTAAAACAAGATTCTAGTGTATATTTTATTTTTAAAAAATAAATTAATTTTTATTTATTATATTACTGCAACAAAATATGTGATATATACTGTATTTTATGGTATATAATATGCAACTTCTGTCTAAAAAAATTGCCTTGTATCTTATATGTGAAGTTGCAATTTTCCATAGGCTAATGAATTCCCCAAATGGCCTTCAGCATGCTATCATAATTTCTATCTAAACACAACTATTTTAACTAAGCAAAAACATTTTGAAACATGTTGTTATTTTCTATGGCTAAACAGCTATTGCATGTATTAATGCAGTATATTTTAATTGTAAATGACTTGTTTTAAACGCCTGTTTTTCCCTTATAAAAAACTGCAACTGCATTCTAATTTTTTTTAAACCAGTATACAGATAAAAAAATTGGTTGAATGCCAAAGGTGTGGGATTGCTTAAATGTACAGTACTAAATACTTTTTCCTAAATATTCCGTGCTGAAATGAGGAAGATGCATCTTATAGTATATGCCATATACTATGAGATGTAAAATATAGTAATTCTGCCATTTAAAGTATTAAAATTTTAAATTAAGAATAAAACAAATGTATTATTGTAAAATACGTATTTATTTTGTATGATATAATATTATGTCCTATTTTTTTACTTTTCCTACCCTGTGGTTACTAAGAGGGCCTTTTTTCAGGCCCATCATGGGTTTGTCCTGGCCCCCTTTACGGCAACTAAATGGCAAATTATGGGACCTGAAATATCTAGACAGAACTGCTCCCAAAAATTCTTGGTGTATTTTGGCTATTCTGACTTAGTTGCTGTCCTTCATACCCAGGACTATCTCTAGTACAACAAGAAAAAAAATAACTATTACTTGTTTGAGCTAAAGATTTAGTTTTCTATGAAAACAAAACTTATCAAAACAAAAATACAGTAATGCTTTTATTGCATGTTTATCTATTATCCCCATTTATAAAAAAAAGCAATATAAAAATTATTAAATTCTTTTCATCTATAAATAGATGCAAGGTTCAGAGTATGTCAACTCCATCTATACTAATATTATAAAGAGGTAATGTTTGTATGTATGTAAGTTTCTTTGCAGCAGGTAATCTCCGAAACTACTCATCCGATTTCAAAAATTCTTTCGCCAATATTTAGAATGGAACCTCAGGGTGGACATAGGCTGTATATTATTCCGTTAAACATTCATATAAATTAAATGATATCATCTATGGTTAAGGCTTTTTTTGTCCAACAGATGGCGCTACGACTATGACGCCCTAAGTTTGCTTTTCTGTGAGGCATTATGCTTTTCTGTGAAAATGAACTAAAGCGGATCATCTTCTATCTATCTATATAAATAAAAATGTAATGTTCGTTTGTTCCTACCGATTCCTTTGAAATTTTGACATAACGCTGCATTTGAATACGTATGTGTTTTTATATAATATACGTGTCGAAATTCCCTCCCCACTGAAGGGAGATGGTTAGGATTAAGGCTTACGGTAAAGAACTCTGCTTCTATTTATACTATTTTAGATGTGGGTTTTTGCGTTTTAATAGGGTACGTCAACAGAATGTACACTAAGAAGGGATTTTTTGATATTCCCCGCGGGGAGAGGGACAGAATTAAGGCTTACCGTGAAGAACTTGGCTTCTATTATATTATTTTAGATGCGGGTTTTTGCGTGTTTGATTGTGTTTTAATAGGGTACATCAAGAGAATGTACACTAAGAAGAAATTTTTCGAAAAATTACCTCTCCGCAGGGAAGTGTTATACATTTATAATAGATACATTTTGAGCCACAACAACGCGTAGCAGGATCTGCTAGTATAATATATATAGAGAAACACAAATTCTAAGATTATAAGAGTCAATTCTTTATATTTGGGTGAATGATTTTTGGGCCTTTAAAAAAATTTCTATATTCCAAATTTTTTCAGAATGCATAATGAAAACTTGTGTTAATGGAACTTATGGAAACATATGATTGTTTTCATTCAAGCTTAAGATTTGAACTTTGTGGGTCAGATGATGGGACAGAGAAGTCCTGAAAAATGTTTAACTGAATAAAAAAACATGATTCTTATAATCTTCTTAGTTTATAAGAAGAAATACAAATGCTATCTGACACAAAAGATATATGATTGATAAATGGACACAATAATTTTAGTAACAGAATTCTGTTTAACTGAAATGTCAAATAATAAAGGAAATTTTTAAAATTTAAATTACAATTTTAACCTCGGTCTTATAATATAATCAAGATGGGTTGATAATGATAATAATAATAAGCACAGAGCCCAAACGGTTAGGAGTTGAAAGTTGAAATTTGGTACACAGTTAGTGTACATCGTGAGAACGTACACTAAGAAGGGATTTTTCGAAATCTCCCCGTAGGGGAGTGGGACAGGATTAAGGCTTACCATGAAGAACTTGGCTTCTGCTATACTATTTTAGCTGCCTTTCTTGCATTTATGTGGGAAATCGAACTTATTTTTGGACCCTTCTAAAAATTCTCAACAATATTTAGTGTTCCATCGTGTATAAAGTTGACACAGGGAGTACATGCGCATAAGTTTGCTTTATTCGAACTCCATCTTAATGTTCGTTTTTATGTTTGAATTTATATTTATGAATGATTCTGGAAGATCCAGCTTATTTTTCGAATTTAGTAAATCTGAAGAAGAACCCAGAAAGAGTTATGAAAACATTTATTATTTATCACTTAGTGGTACTATGCAATGGTTAGTGGTTGCAGTGAGTCTTAATTATTGTTATCCTGGTATAGTAAGCAGATATCTAAAAATTTTCTAATTAGTCTCGGAAGAGGGTGGACTAATTCTTGCACTCTGTGAAAACGGGTAAGATTGGCTATAATCTAGTAATCTTAATCTTTGCTATTGTTACTTTTTGACCAAGCAATGCTGGGCTCATCTGCCAGTTTAAAATAAAAATAAAGTCCTACTGAATGCTTCTTTCCTCATAGTTTTGTTAATATTACATTAATATAAGTATGAATTGTACTGGTATATATCACTGAAGATATTTCTAAGTAAAAAATATAAATAATTATTTTCAACATAATTTTAAAGTACAGTATT